ACCCACCTAACCGTTTTAGGAGGACGTGGAAGAAGAATGGTTGCTGGTACCATCTGCCTGCTCCACGGATTGGTGTACGACAGAGAAGGCCTTGAGAACACCTCACGTCAGCGCTGCATGGTGTTGTGGTACACAGCTTTAGATCCTGCCTTCCAAGTTCTGCAGCTGCAGGTCCTGCAACAGCAAAATTTGACAGACTTTGCTGTTGATGCCCTGGTGCACACATTGGTCTTTCAAGTCCTCCAGTGTCATCTGCTGCTTGCCGACACTATACAAAGCCTGCAAGAGAAGGAAGTGCTTGTAGACATCGTGGCATACCGACTGATTTCAGACCTCTGCTGGCCACTCAGCAAACCAGTCAATGGTGCCTGGCCAACATGTCAGTTGAGTTTCAGAAGCCAATGCCTTTCTGGCGATAAAATCCTGTTGAACACTTTTGAGCGCTTCCAGAAAGGATTGGTCTGAGTCTGCTGCAGCAGTTCACCAATGATGGGAACATCCGAAGTCCTGACTGCACTCTCAACTGCAGCTGCCCCTGCATTCATAGAGCACCATCTGCTTGTTTGGAGCATATAGGGTATGGATGAAGTTTAGTCCGCTCACTCTCATAAGCCGAAGGTTTGAGGGTGCGACGTGTGCGGAAAGCATCACCGACAGGGGAGAAAGCCAGCACCACATGAACGTTTGCCTAACCAAGTTGGGTCATGACAGAGCCCACTCGTAAGATGCAAGAAGCAGAAACCTTCACGCGACTCAAGTAGGTGCTGAAGACGTTAGCTTTTGTCGGCGGGATGCCAGCCTGCTTTCACTGCTTGATTTGGAAACATCACCATTGACTTCTCAACTCTGATGCTGCCTGCTGGCATGCAGCGCGGCAGGCTTGCATGATGGAGTCCATGTCCTGCCAGATCAAGGGGCTTCGTGCATCACGTTTGGTCTGCGTCTTCAGCCACTGACCCCCAGATGAGCACGAACCATGAAATCACAAAACCTTATTAAAGACCTAAAGAATTGCCAAAAACGTTAGCTCCTACTCTCAAGCAAGAACTTGCCCGCAAGCCATCGTGGGGGCCTCGTTTTTGTAGAGGTTCGGCACATCCCCACTATTGAGGACATTGTTGATGGCCTGGCCAGTGACCCTGCTACATAAAAACCAGTTTGTCCACGGAAAACGAACAGGGTTTAGGGCTCCCATGCGGGAAATAGGAGGCTTACATTGGGATTCTATTGGGATAATGGAAAATCAAATGGAAACTACTCTTTAAAAGGCTCCATATCGAGATAATGGAAGATAGAATGGAAACTGCTATTAGGGCATTTAGGGTTTAGGGGGTTCAGGGAATGTAGGCAGCATAGATGGAAATACTTCGAACTTGATATCAGAATTGCCTCCACCATCTGCTCGTTCACAATCTGCGTGTCCGCAAAGAGGAAAGTGGTAGGTTTCTGCTCGTTGCCACATTTCATCAAGCATGTCTTGAGATCATCTTTGAACTCCGTCATGCCGTAGCCCTTGACCACATCAATCTGGAAGATGTCATACTCAGACATAAAGCTGGCTAAGCGTGACAGGGACTGCCGACCAGATCCTCCAACACCAAGAAGCAATGCATTACCATTCGGCTGGCGCAGGACGCGGCAGACGCGGGCGACATGCTCACAAGCATCTGCAAACATGACCAGCGGCATTGGCACGGAGAACATGTTGTTGTAATCGTCCAGGAAACCTTCCATGGTGGCTTTCATGGCCGTCATGCTCTCCACCTCACCGTAGAATCGGTCCCCGCTCTGGCTCATGAAGTCAGCAAAGACCAGACGCTCCTTGTCAAAGATCTGGATGGGGCTCACTGCAAAGGAGTTGTTGAGGTGGCCTTCTAGCTTTGATTGAAGCCAAGCGCGGTCTTCAGCTGTGGTCAGTCGATCCCCATAGACTCGAACATTTTCATGGCAGAAGCATCGAGTCACGACTTGAGGGTCTGAAACTTTCTTCGACTTTAGAGAACAGATGCCCTGGAAGACCTTCCAAATATCTCGCAAATTGAAGGTGTAGTGGCTCTTAGACGGGGTCGGTAATAGGTCTGTACCAGCAGCCTCGAAGATGTCGATGGAACAATTCACAATATTGTCCTGACCGCCAGGAGCAATTGCAGCACTCAGGTGCATAAATCCTACATGTACGTAGTGTTGAGCAGCTGCAGGCCTTTGCTTGCAGACAATTTGCACAAACGAGAATTACACCCATCACAACGCAATGCAGCTGTGGTGGCCGGTGTAAGTCTTCTGAAAATATGATGCAAGCCGGATTTGACGCGCTTGGCCTTGAGGTCAATGATTGACTTCTCAAAGCCCTGCTGCAGGAAGTAGTCCAAGATCGTGGAGAAAATGCCGAAGATGGAGTCCTTGGCTACACATGTGCTCAGGCCTGCGCCCGGTTATGTCAAGACACTACGTACTATGACAGCGAGCCGAAATGCTCGTGACATGTCAGCGGCCACCACTGCGTTGTAGTGCCTGCCACAGCTACCACCGGCAGCCAGAGCAAGAACCGACAAGAACATATCACATCAGGCCGCCTCTTCAAGCGTCCCGAGATCTCGGTGCGGCCACCACCGGGAGGACCCATGGCTGATACGTGAACGATGTCCTCGGACGCCACTCTGCGCTCCATGCGCTCCAGAGTTCTGCATGGGTCTTAAGAGAGCTGACGGTGAATTGCGGTGTGCAGCGATGCAGGCTGCAACTTGATCTTATAAGGCTTGGGCAATGATCTCCTGCATCTTTAGCTCCTACACCAAGCTGGGGCAACAAGCTTTCACTGGACACTCGTTTCATCCTTGCGATTGTACCAGCCACTGTAGTCCATCCACTGTCGAATGAGCTCGATCGGCGGCTGTGCCCCATAGTACTCCTGGCATGTCAGGATGAAGCAGGTCTACAAGCCATGCGCACATGGGTTGTTCTCAAAATTACGGGCCCCTTTTGGTTATAGATCATATTACAGCAGCTAGTATTTAGGGGTACTGTACCAAAATGGGACCCTAATCTTGGGAACTATCCATCTGGTGGGAACCTTCTTGGGCATGTTGAGATCATCGATGAAGATCACGTTCTTCTTTCCGGCTGGTGGACCTTTTTGGGGGTGATAATTGGCCAAGCTCTTGGAGCAAACGCAGCAATATAAAACAAGTAACAATATGTACTAATACTAGTAATAGTGATAATATATATATATATACACATATATATATATACATATACAGTATATATATATTATAGAGTAAGACTTCGAGCTACCCACCGTACACTCCACGTCGTCGCTTCTCAAACTTGGAGTCCAGGAGATCCTGGCCGTACGCTGGGCGAAGCCATGCGAAGCTGCACGGCAAGACCACAGTTGGGGGTCCCTATAATGGGGAGTATAGCATTTTGGGGTCTATATTGAGGTCCCCCTATTTTGGGAAAAGACCACAAAAGCAAGCTGACCTGCAGCTGGTTCACGTGGGTCTGAGCCTAAGTGGCAGGTGGCTTAGCTGCCCGAGCACACTTCGTTCAAGCTTCGGGTGCCGGATCAGGGCATAAGCTGCCAGCAGAGAAGTTGATGAAAATCGGCGTGATCGTCTCTGGGGCATCTTTCTGGAGCCAGAGCCTTAAATTGGACCCATGAAAGCCGTCAGAACTGCATAGATTCGATGACTTCCTCTCCAAGCTCCGAGCGACACGTACACGGATTTGCCTGTCCCTGTTTGGCCGGCCACGATGACATGCTTGTCCTGTCAGACCGTGCTGCTTTTTTCTGCTCCGAAGTGGGTGGCAGTGCTGGGTTGGTGTGATTCACCACTGAGGTCCTTGAGAAGGAGCGTGGAGAAGGTGTGGGTGAGGCGCACGGAGTCAACCGTCGGCCTGGGAGCCCAAGGCAAATTCGAAATGAACAGCACGACAGGACAATACGGTTCAGGGTTTAGGGTTCAAGGCATCCTAAGCTCGCAGCACCACAATGTTCTGGTACTCCGAACCTCAGTTGGGGGGCGCCAAGGAACCCGGGAACAAGTTGACATGCGCGCGCTGGTTTTTTTGCGGTGCCCAACAAATTTGGGGCGCTGAGTCCGGGACGTGGAGGCACCGAGTACTTTGGTGCCTGAGCCCCAAGAAGGTGTTAGGCAACGGGAATCAGGTGCAAGATGTTGAAAGCTTGGAGAATCTTGGGAACGCGCAAAGGTCAACCATGGCGTCCACTGGCCTTCCCGCTCGCCCTGCAGAGGATGCTCATTCTTCATGAGCCTTTTTCTGCACTGTTTCTGAAGGGCGCCTCGAGCTCGTAGATGTAGTCGTACCTTGTGGTTGACAGAATTCTGTTGGTTATCAGCTTTCCTATGGTTGCCTTGCGAATTCGGTACGTTTCCGCCAAGGTGCCAAAACATGGAGCTGTCCAGGTTGCCACCCACCTGCGCAGAACTCTGAACTTCTGCACGTTTTCAGTGCAGCCTCTTCAACGCAGCACGGGCACTCGTTGCCTGAACACCAGTTTCCTTCACAAGCTCCCAAAGTCTGTCCTTGTTGGAATGCACATGCAGATGACACATGTTCAACGCGAACTCGCTGGCTGCTGAGGCACGTTGACAATCTGGCGGCCCTTGTTATCGCAGGTCGCACCTCAAGAGCTCTCTTACAGTCACACAAATCGAAGGTTGGCAGTCGCCTGAAGTGAGTCCAAAAGAAGCAGGACTACACCCTGAGCTGCGAAATCGGATTCAGGCACAGGCCAACAGACCAAACCAGAGTGAAGAAGTAAAGCGGCACCAAATGGGACCTCTCCACATGCTCTGAGGTAGGGGATTCCACTGACATCCCAGCAGGCACTGACAATCCCCTACCCCACCCTGGGCCGCCAGCTGCAGCTTGTTGATTTCGTCTGGGCTTGGCGTTTTGGCTTCAGTGGGGATGTACTGGTAGAAGTAGCAATCCATGAGCCTAAACGGACCAAAGGCTTGAAGCCATGAAGCAGGTCCCAAACGTGCATGCTTTGGTCTGCGCCTGAAGTGCGACTGGCAGAGATTGTTGTCAACAGTCATGGAGGGTTCCTGGACTGGAATCCCTGCTGTAGGGACCCAAGTGGACCCCTACTGCTTGGATTCATCGACATGAGTCCCTATTGAGGAATATACTAGTGACCATACTAAACTACTAAACGGACCGCTCTGCCCATCCCTGATGGTCCCTTGGTAACCAAAATATTGACAGTAGCTCATACCTAATCCCTAGAATCCCCCACGAAACCACAGTTTCCATTTATCTTTCGCTTTCCTCTTCCATGCAACTCTCCATTATGGGGGGGGTTGTTATATGTATATGTTATATGTATATATATATATCTCATTATATAGTTTATAATCCCATACATCCCCTAAATAACACTATATAACCCTACATAATGCCTACATACCCCTACATAACCCCTATAAGCCAAACGACAGCAGATGCAGCAATTCGCCTTGGTCAACTTCCGCACGGTTCTGATGATTGGCAGGGTGTAGGCCTCATGGTCTGCATCCCAGCACTCACAAGTGAGCTTAGGATAGGATTACATAGGGATTATACAGTGCTACATAGGGCTCATATGGGTCTATACAGGGATATATGGGAATACATCGGGATATTACTGCAATAATGGAGAGAATCAATTGGAAGAGAAAAGGGGATGTCAATTAGAAACAAGTGAGGTAAGGACTCTTCTAACAGCGCATCTTCTGCTAAGCAGTGCAAGCCATGTCTGACCGGAGGTAAGCTCTCAAACATCAGAGGATCGGATTAAGGATTCGAGCTTCAGCTCCGAATTCAGTGTTGTTTTTCTGTGTCTCTTCCGATTGAAGCAAGCAAGATTAGATCCTTCTGACAAAAGACGAATAACCAAAAGAATGCAATCTTACGAGTCTTCAGGGATATTGTCCCCCCATGCAGCTAAGAAAAATCTCTGAGACCACAATTGGGCACCGTGCCAACATGAGTTCCTTCAGCTTGTCTGCCATTTCCTCAGGGGACAAGCCACGGTCTGCTTGGTGAATAATAGCAGCAATGATACTAGCAATAATGGTAAGAAACGATAGTGATAATATAAATAGTAATAGTAATAGTGACAGTAATAGGGATAGTAATAGTAATAGTGATTAGTTAAAATGAAAAAAAGAACAATAATAGCAGTAATAATAGCAATAACAGTAATAATAGCAATCGTGAAAATAGTAACAATAATAAGACTAACAATAATAGTAGTTGGTGAAGAGCAAACCCAGCGTCCTGCTTGAAGGTGCTAGGCAACCTCTCCACCCAAGACCTGGCTTGACTTTTTGCGGAAATCTCACTGCATCATTCAATCCCGGACTCCCTGGGGCCCAGCTGAATCAAAGGCTCGTTACCCAAGGCCGAAGGCTCCATGTAGACCTCAGAGGATCCCCTAATCCCCCTATGATAATAGGAATGATTCTAATGATTGTAATTAAAGTACTACTAGTAATAATATAATTGTATTAATATTAGTACTGAGAGTAATAATAAGGGTAACTATTACCGTAAGCTGCAAGGCCGGCAATCAGAAAAACCATGGGATCCGGGCCATGCCGCAGCGGCTGACTGTGGCAGGGGAGGCAACCGAGAGGTCCTCCACTTCGAAAACCATCCTGGCTGTAGTAGGGCTCAAAAGCGGATTGAATCATGGATCTCTCCCTAACGTGCAGATTCCAATCCAACTGTGTGGCTTCAAAAATGATTGAGACCATCCCCGGCAAAGAAGCCGTGCCTCATCTGGGGCGTGAGCGAGATAATTTCTCCAGATGTCAAGCATAGCTTCTTGTTGTCATCTAAGACAGTGTTCATGGACCTGGCTATTGCTGTCTGTTCTGGGCTCTTCCAAAGACACAGTAGTCGCAGACTAAGTAGGGCACTCGATCCACAAAGCATCAACAGGTCCATCGAAGATCACCTGATCTCATGACAGTGATGGTGCACCCCCTTAAAACCAGGGAAGTCGTAGTATCGTAGTGTCATGAAGGTGCCCCATGGTGCCCCCAACATGGAATCAACGTGTGGGTGCTGATCACATGGACCTTACACTTCAGGGCCGAAGCTATGTCGAATTTACATGACGTTGTGGTAGCCAAGCACTGCACTGGACTCTAAGCAAAAGCTTCTGCAAACGTCTGGCCAAGCAGTTCTACGAAGACTTAACGTACCATGATTCTGACATTTGTTCGCAACAGCAACAACGATGTGATGACAGAGCGTGGTGCTGGTAATGCACAAGCCCCTGCAAATGCTGTATTTGCTGTTGGTGCAATGGATCCAGCGGTAAGTCCTCCACCCAGTGATTGTCGGGGCTTCCTGATTTCCCACTGGCCACGGCTGTTCGCACCTTGGACACAGGCTTGTAGCTTGGGTTCTTGCTGCTGTGAAATTCTCTGGGCTTTCCACACACTCGCTGGCCACACCATCCGACCACTCACGTGTCACCTCGTCGAAAGCACCGTAGAGCTGGGCCTGTCGAAGCGCAAGGATGTGATGTGAGAGCTTGAGGAGTGAACTGCGATAATTCAGCAAGCAGCTACGCAGTGCACAAGCTTGAATCTGCCTGCGTGATGGCTTTCGGATTCAGAATGTGAGTCTGCACCTTCTGGTACTTCGAGTCGCCGGCCTGCCACTCACTAATCCTGAAGCGCTCACGCAGCCCTCCGTGCACAGCCTCGCACATGGCGATGGAGGTGGCTTGCAGCAGGCGATAGTTGCACGTCTTTCCGCCTGGCTTACAAAACAACGCGATGACAAAGCTTCCTCGGGGTTTCCTCGGCTTCAAGCCTCCAGTTGGCCCCACAAGCATGAGCCCGTGTCGGACCCCAATGGTGTCGATAAGCTGAACAACCTGAGACATCAGTCTACTCTACTAACATTTAAGGACTAAGCACAGAGGCAAAGGTGTGCAAGGAGCGCCTTGACCGTGAAGTTGTCAGTCAGCTGCAGATTCTGCTCCTGCGCCCACAGGCTGCAGTGGTGCAACACCTAGCCTTCAACCGCTGGCGAAAGCACTTGGCTGTACCTTGCCACAGGCTTCCATGACGGGTGTGAGGTTGCCATACTCCACCACAGGTCTGTCGGTGGTCGGGAAAAGGTCAGAGATGATGTTCCTTTTGCCAACACCGAGCAAAGATGAGCAAAGACTCTCATCGACCAGCTCTGCCCTCTGAGCAGCCAGCTCGAACAATGGCAGGTCATCCTGCGCAACAGCACATGTGCAAAAGAGTTGCAAGACCGCGTGCGGCTTCCACGGAGAATCTGCCAGCCATCAATGAGGACTTCCGAAATATGCTGTCCAGACTTCTACTGGTCGAGACACGAAATGCAGCTGCAACTCCTTAGCCCAAGCTTCCCCCAAATTAGGGGTACCTGTTTGGCGGAGCCTGCAAGGATTACAGTATTTGGGGGTCTATGCTGGGGTCCCTCTACTTATGAAAATCACCATGTAATCCTTGTGTAACCCTATGTAGAGTAGCTTCCATCTCATTTTCCATTTGATTTTCCGTTTGATTC